ACACACAGAGAGAGAGAGAGAGAGAGAGAGAGAGAGAGAGAGAGAGAGAGAGAATGATATATTTGAAACCTTAAAAGCCCACCCCCAATGACACACCTCCTCCAACAAGTAACACCTCCTAACCCTTCCCAAAGAGTTCCACAAACCACAGACCACATGTCCAAACATGCACCTATGGAGGCCTTTCTCATTCAAATTACCCTGCCTGCCTTAAGATGAAGTTTAGGGGGCTGGAGAGATGGCTCAGTGCTTAAGAGCACTGACTGCTCTTCCAGAGGACCCAGGTTCAATCCCCAGCGCCCACATGGCAGCTCACAACTGTTCGTAACTCAAAGATCTGACACCCTCACACAGGCAAAATACCAATGTACATAAAATAAAAATAAATAAGTTATAAAAAAAGAGATAAACTTCAACCTGAATATTGGCAGTTTAAGATGGCTTACAATTCTCCCCATTATTCTCACAAACCATGTTGTCCAGAATGAGATACTTATTATTTACCAAGCATGGATTCCATAGAGAGGGAACTTCTGGGTCATAGGGCAAGGACTTTTGCAAGGCTCTTGCTATTTATGTTGCAAAAGGCTTTTCAAAACAACAAAAAGTGATGCTACCTTGCTCTTTAACCATCTCATTGTATTCTTACCAGCAATACCTGTTTTTATTTTTTTATTCTTTTTAAAATTTTTTTATTCATTGCAATGTCTATTTTAATGCTTCAAGGCTTTGCTACTTAAAAGTAAAGATGCTCTATGTGTGAAGAAATAACTTATTCCTGATCATTCCCTCAGTTCCCACCTCCTACCATCTCCAACCTCATCCTCTATCCTCTAGCTCAGCCTTCCTAGAGTAGATAGAGGATGCTTTCTGACTCCGGGAGTTTCCACATCGCCAGTCAAATCAGGCACGAGCCAGTAAGCCTTTGCAGGGTTGTCTTAGGGCTCCGGAGCAGAATGAGGTTTGCCTTCCACAGAGAAGCAGAGGGATACAGTGTGGGAATGTTTGGCTGTAGTTTTGGAGAGGGGGCCGTGGGCTCATCTTTCTGCATTTTCTGCATCGTCCAGATACCTCTACTGGTACCACCACAGCCTCCTGAGTTCCTCAAACCAAATCAACATCTTTCATCATTCTGCTTCTCACACTACATTTCTCTTTCTGGGCAGCATGAACTCTCCTGCTATCCAAAAACCAAAATCTGAAGGTCACCCTGACTCTACCCACTGTCTCCTTACACACCTAATACATCATCCTATGATTGGTTAGTTAGTTAATTGGTGGGCTGGCCATTTAGCCTTGTGAATTTCTGTTTAGGCCTTTAGAGGATTCTAAGAGACAGGTACCCCATTTCTACTAATGACCACAATCAGAGAAGGGGTGTTGGCTTATAGAACTGAGATGCCCACGGCTCTAGTTGCAGTATTGGCTGAGTCCAAGGCTCCAGTAGATAATGCAGGAGCTCTCCCCTTCGGATCTTGCTCTATTTCCCTCAGTTCTAAGTGTTCAGGAGGTACCTTCAGTCTAGTGAGGGGGAAAACAGAGGTGCTGACAGCAGATAAGTGTCTGTGCTTTTCCCAGCTAGTGGTCCAGCCTGACCTGCCTGCCCCCTGTAAAGAATCAGACCTGTCGGTGGAGTTTTCTTGTCTTGCCAGAAGCTCCCAAATAAACATATTGAGGCTTATATTAATTACAAATGCTCAGCCAATAGCTCGGGCTTGTTACTAGCTAACTCTTACATTTACATCAACCCATATTTCTTATCTATGTTTTGCCATGTGGCTTGGTACCTTTTCTCAGTACAGCATGCCCCTCTTGCTTCTCTCTGCATCTGCTGGCGACTCCTTACTCTGCCCTTCTTCCTCTCAGCATTCTCAGTTTGGCTCTCCCACCTAACCTTATCCTGTTCAGCTATTGGCCAATCAGCTTGTTTATTAAACCAATCATAGCAACACATAGTCACACAGTGTAAAGGAATATTCCACATAGACCCATTCTAAATGTGCCATATTCCCACTGTGGGGGCAGATACTGTGTCTGCATGCAAAATAGTCCATCCCAAGTCTTATGTCCACCCTGTAGGGCACAATGACTGCCTGTCAGCATTGCTTGGAGCAAATTCCTAGAGGACAAAGGGAGATAGATTCATCCTGTCCTCTCGTCCAACCACTTTCCCCTTTGACTTTCCATGACCCTTTTATTTCATACCTGCAGCACTGGTAACAGTTCTAACTGGTAACAGTTCTAACTGGTTTCTATGCCTCCCACGCTCTCCTGTCCTGCCCAGGTTTCCATTTCTTAAGATTCTTCATCTATGAAGAAACACTCGGCAGAGGGTTCCTCTATATTCTGCTTAGGAGAGAAGATGTGAGCTTTGGTGAGCCTCCTGTCCCTAGATTAAGGATCAGCTTTGTCACCAGGGCAAAGGAGGAGGGAAGTCCGCTGAGCCCTGGCCCTGTTTGCTTCACACATCTTCATGCTCTAGAGTCCTCTCCCTCTGGTGTCTAATTTCCCTTGGGTACCTGTTCTTGGTAGTTTAATGTCTATTTGAGACAAGCTAGAGTCATTTTGAAAGAGAGAACCTCAATTGAGAAGATGCCCCACCCCAACCGGCCCATAAGCAAGCCTGTGGGGCATTTTTTTTTTACTGATGAAGGAGGGCCCAGGCCACAGTAGGTAGTACCACCCTGGGCTGGTGGTCCTGGGTACTATAAGAAAGAGGCTGGAAAAGCCCCGAGGAGCAAACCAGTAGTCAATACTTCTTCATGGCCTCTACATCAGTCCCTGTCTTGAGTTTCTGTCCTGATTTCTCTAGATGATAGACTACAAGCTATAAGATGAAATAAACCCTTTCCTCCCCACGTTCCTTTTGGTCAATGTTTTGTCATGGTAACAATGACCTTAACAGAGACAGTAGTCACAAGCTGGGCAGGTGTTGAAACTAAAGGTCCTGGAAGATGCTTCTTCCTTACTCTGTGTCCTAACAGGAAGACCCTTTGCCTTCAACAGGAGGACACTGGCTCACACAACCCCATCCTGTGGCCTCCAAACCCTGGCTCTCCACAGGTACAGATGTGTGTACTTTGCATGGCTGGCCTCTCAGCTGTCTAACATCTAGGTGCTACTGAGAGTGGGCAGAGCATGGGCACAGGATATTTAGTGTGCCCCCCCCCCTGCCCCAATGCCTATTCCTATCTCTCCCTATTAAGTTGGAAACCAACACGGGTTTAGAATTTTAGAAATAACATGTTGAATGTGGCTCTCTGCGAACTGGCTTGCTGGATGGGCTGTGAGATGCTGAATAAGGTTTGTGTTGTCAACAGAAGAGAATGCAGACGCTGAGAGCCAGCACTAATCCTTCCACAGGCTTTGACTTTGATGTCTTTTGTCCTAAAGGGAGGCTGGGAAATGGTGTGGCGGCCCTACCTTCCATGCCAGTGGGCGAAATGATTTGTCATTAGAAAGATTCAGAGTCAGCTGTGGGTGTCATTGCACAGTAATGCAGCTAGCTGAGCTCATAGTGGCAGGGTAGCTGGAGGTGTTTGCAGTTGAAAAAAAGGGGAGCTTTCTGGAGAGGTTGTGGGGGTGAGCGCCTCTGGGTGTGGCCAGGGGAGGCTACACTCCTGATCCTGCCTGTGCAGGTGTGTCTGTCATCAGGTGGTGTTGTGATCTGCTTTAAAAAGCCACTCCACCCTGAAGGTGGCTGCCAGGTGGGTGTGCTCAAGGCGTTTGTCTCCCCTAACCTGGCAGTTCCGAAGTTGTGTGGTATTACGGCTGCACGTACATGGTGAAGGCTGTTTGCACATGCACTGTCCTCTGGTTTCCTCACAGTCCCATGAGTGAGCAGCCTTGGTGGATCACTCACATTTTACAGAAAAAGGGGCTTGGCTGTTCATCCGCTTGGCCATTTGAATGAGCAATGAGTGGGGTTGGGGATTCAGCTCAGTGGTAGAGTGCTTGCCTAGCAAGCGCAAGGCCTTGGGTTCGGTCCTCAGCTCTGAAAATAAAATAAAATAAAAATAAAAACAAAAATGAATGAGCAATGAGTGAGAATTACAACCCTGGCCTCAGCAAGTTGCAATGAGAAATGCCAGGGCCAGTGGTTTCCAAGCTGAGTTCTTCTAGCCTTAAGGACTGGCCCAAGGTCAAAGAGGAAGTTTGCTTGGAGAACCCAGGCCACCAACCAGCACAGCTTGCCTAATATGGCACATAAGTAAGGCTCAGAGTCAAAGTTGGAAGAAAGCCACCACATTTTCATTTCAATTGTTTTTCAATTTTCTGTGTTTGATCAGAAGATCAAGGCATTTGCCCACCTCCATAAATCTGTGACGGATTCAGGATGACAGGCTGTCCTGGGGCTCCCAGGTCTAGGCTCCTAAGGGGACCTCTGCCAGGCTAGGAGCAGTATGGTGCAGATGTAATTCTGAACGGTTTTATTGAATAAGAAACACGGAGCCAAATACAGAGCTAAAAGCCCAAGAGGTCAGAGCAGCAGCCAAGAGCTAAGACCAAGACCACCTTCTTACCCCTCGCTGTCGCTGTCATCCTTCCCCTCCGAAAGAGACCTACTTCCTGTGTGTATTTTTATTGACTTTCTGTTCTGCCTTCTCATTGGTTGTAAATCCAACCACATGACTTCTTCATCACTGCCTATCTATACAGACCTTCAGGTCTCTACGGTTGGTACTTGGATTAAAGGTGTGTATCACCATGCTGGCTGTGTCCTTGAACACACAGAGACTTTGCCTGCCATGTGATTGGATTAAGGGCGTGTGCTACCACTGCCAGACTTCTGTTATGGCTTGCTATTAGCTCTGACCCCCAGGAAACTTTATTAAAATACAAATAAAATCACATTTCAGCACAAATAAAATATCACCATAGTATGGTCTTCTGGCTTAGGACACTTCACAAGGAACCACAGCAGAGCCTAAGACTTAGGCAGAGACTCCTATTCAATGGCCATTTGTGGAGCCCACTCCCACCACCACCCGGTCCAAAGGAGAGGCAGGTGAACTCCTGCCTCATGGAACTTACATGCAAACCAGACAAGTGAATAAACAAATAATTCAGAGGGTAAATGGATGCTTACAACTGGACAGCTTTATCATGGATGTGAGCCAGGCACACAAGGACAATGCCAGGTGATCTTACTCACGTGGGCTCAACAAAGTTGATATCACAGAAATCAAGAGTCAACTACCAGAGACTGAGGAGGCTGGGGAGAGAGGGACTAGGGTGGTCTGTGAATACTAGGTTCCAGTGAGCCTGAGTGAGAAGCTCTGTGACTGTAGGCAACATTTATGTACAGTATTTGTTGAAAAGCCAGAAGGCGGGACTCTGGAAGGTTTTCACTGGGATTGGAGAGGTGGCTCAGTGGTCAGGAGCACATACGGCTCTGGCAGAAGACTGGAGTTCAGTTCCCAGCACCTACATCGGGCAGCTTCAGGGGACCCAGCACCCTCTTCTGGACTCCTCATGCACCCACGTGTATGTGACATATGCACAGACAGACACACGTACACATTAATAAAAGTTAAAAATAAATCATTTTTTAAAAAAGAAATAGGTCTTTAACATTTTTGCTGATATATATTAATTACATATAATGATGGCTTTGATTATATTTTAATGTATATATAATATTTTTACATTTACCCTTCATTCCCCTCTGTTACCCCCCCTCCTACTTCTGCCGATTCCCTTTCTCTCCCCAACTAGTCCCCTTCTGCTCCCATGTCTTTTTTCTTTCCCTGAGCCTCTGAGTTTGTTCAGAGCTACTCACAGGAACGCAGACGAGGTATAGTTTACCCTCTCACCTTCTGCCTCACAGCACTGAGGAAAATGTCTCTCGCTTCCTCCTCAACCATTAGCTGCCCAGAGAGTCTTCAGGAGCCCCTCTCCTGCTCTGTAGTGGAATGTTCTTAGGCCAAAGCTTGTGTCTATTTATTTATTTATTTATTTATTTATTTATTTATTTATTTATTTATTTATTTATTTATTTATTTATTTATCTATCTATCTATC